ACCTTGGAAGCAGGATTATCTGAAATGTAGGACTGGAAGGTGCAGGCAGAAACAGGCATTTTCCATAACGATCAGGAAAATGCTAAACTCAGAGGTCAGGGGGCCATAAAAAATCCCCCTTCTGAAAAGTGAGGGAGAACAGAGTACAAAGGTTAGAGAAAGAGATGGGGGAGGGAGTAAATGAGCCTAAAGTAAATAAGATTTCCCAAGTTTCGATTTAAGTAGACTGCTTCTCTGCATGATCCCCACGGAGGAAACGTAGAGAGAGAAATTGCTTAAATCCAAATGGCCTTTTTATCTTGGCCCAACAGTCAGGAGCAGGAATAGATGGTATGGATGGACATGAAAGTGGCATTCCCTATCATGGGTGACCTGCCTGCAGCTCAGACAAAGATTCCTCTCACACTTCCCACCAGAGCTGTGGCTCCTGCTGCCTCTCTACCACAGGCCACCTGGAGGTGACTCAGTCCCCTCACCTGTAACGTGAGAGAGTAATAGTGCCCAATGCAAAGGTGCAAGGGCGAGGATTACTGGCAGTAATTCACAGAACGTGCCCAGCAAATAAATGTCTGGCATACAGCCACACCCCAGTGATGGCAGGCTGTAGGCAGAGGCCTCCAGACCCAAGCCAAGTCTCATCCGCTCTGGGCAGTGCCTCTGCCTTTCACACTCAGCTCCCAGTGCGCTTGCCATCAGCAGCCCACGGTTTAGTGCCTAATTATACACAATTAGGAAGCAAGTCACATAATAAAATACAGAACTGAATTCAGTCAAATTCCTTCCAGCCATAAATTATGACAATTTCACTCCCACACTCTACAGGACTTGCTAGACACACACATGGCAGATCTCAGTCTTAGCCCCTGACATTCAATTGGTTCTCTCGTACCTTCGATTTAGGCTTCTCTTGTCTGTTATGGTGGAGGCCACCCTCCATTCTCCGGTCTAGAAGCTATTAAGATGGGGAAAGCAGGGTCTAGCCACAGGCAACTTGGTGGTGGCAGTCAGACCAACTGTGCATTAGGCCTCAGGCAGTCTTTCTTGGGTCACCTCACATTTCTTCCTCTGGCCATCCCGTTAGACTGGAGGGCCAAGACTGGTGTGGAAGCCGTGAGGCACCGATGAGGTCAGGCTGCACCTGGGGCTCAAAGTCCTTGTGCTGTAGCTCTGGACTAGGCTGTCAACCATGGGTGATGGATAGCTCGTGGAGGTGGAGGGCCTCCTGCCTTAGCTGCCCTCGGCACCATGTGACTGGGACCAGAGTGAGGACTTTACCTGGGATGGCATGAGCAAGTGAATACAACGCTGCCCACCCTACAAGACAGAGTGGGCAAGCACCAAGGAGACAGCTACGTCCCCAGAGCAGCTGCTAAATAGGCAGGCAGACAGACAGGGCAGGTGAGAGGAGTCAAGGCATCCAGCTCACCAAAAAAGACAAGGCCTCTGCCCCACTTCCTGGAAGCTCCATGCCTGTCGACAGGCATAGGGGTATCTTGGAAGGGTTTCTCAGTCAGTCACCACAGGTGGTAAAGCCCACCTTCACTGACTCGTCTCTGCTTTTTACACACCCCTCCCTGACTTTCAGTCTCCTCTTTTCTATCCAGGATCCCAGAACTCTCGGGCCACCCATCCATCCGCTCTTCCTGAAAGATAATCTTTGATATTTGCAACCTTCGACAGCTAACTTTTTACAGAGAGCATCAGGGGATGACAAGGTTGAATCCAGGGTGCAGATCTGGAAACAGACTGGAGTTTGCTTTCTCACCACTAGCCTCTTTTTCCCCCTTCACTTGCCCTTTTAGGCTGTCACCACCTCTTGAGCATCTGCTCTGGCAGGTGCCACCATGCACTGAGGACTGCCTAGCTGAGGAGACCAAAACATGAGGTCATAATCTGAACACAGGAACTGTGTTAAAAAACTCTCCCAGTCAGTCTACACATTCAATTACCAGTTTTCAACTAACAGTTACTCCATTCTGCTCATTAAAGCAGCCCTCTAAAGATGCTAATACTTCCTAGCCCTGACTGGAACTTAATAAACGTGTATGTCAATGTATATTGTATGATGCGTACTCCCCAGCTCAGCCTGAGCTCTCCTGGTGTGTGTCTAGCTAGATAGGACCACAGCCTCGATGAGCATCATTAGCCAGGATGTTCTCTGTGATACTGTCTGGAGTTTTTGAGACTGGCTTCTCCTTTCTAGACTCTGCTAGAAATGGTTTGCTGGTGTACTTCTCTTCATTGTCTGGTTATATTTGGCTCCTCCTGACTTTCTTTCCATCCATGTTAATAATAACACACTAACAGGCTGTACCACACTTCCACATACCACACAACTATAGAGAGTAAAATATGGCAAGCACTGAATTATTCAGTGGGTGAATAATACCACAAAGATATTCTATATCCCAGAAACAAAGTTGTTAACTGGGATGACGTATTTGACATCTGTCCTTTTTTAAGTCCTCCCTGGGGGCTGCAAATCTGCTACCAGGAGCTGTTCATCCCATTTTAAGGAAGGCACAAGCTGCTCATTCATTCAGGTGAAGAATCTCCCATATGTGGCCTGCTTCTGGTTATGTTTATCATTCTTCCTATACAGGAGAACCACACACACATTGCACGCAGTCTTTCACACATGGGACCAACAGGGGACCAAGTGCTGTGTGCTGGACTGATGTCTAAGCTTGCTCCTTCCGATTCCTGGTTATTAGACATCTTTGCTCTGATCCTCACAAAGAAGGAGCTAGGGGACTTAGTTCAAGTCCCTTGTGGCCATATTCATCACCAGCTTTCCATCAACACTTAGAACAAAAGAACGTGTGGTAAGAAACTCAGAAACAAGACATCTACTGAGCAGGAGGAGGCACCTTGCCAGCTTCTGGCGAGAGGAAATTCTCTCTCCTCTGTGTGTGCGGCTCACAGCTATTCTTTAGAACCAGCTCTCTGGAGAGGCATGCCTTACAAAGTGTCTCCAGCTTTGCATCATGAGTCTTGTAGTGAAAGACTGTATGACTGGTTTATGGTTTCTCAATAAACTTTCTTTTAGGAAAAGAAAAGTTGAGATTTGAAATCAGATTTGTTCCAGAGAATTTGGGGATGTGTGGTCAAGACACTTACTCTGTGACCAAGGAGATGCTTGGTCAATGGCAGCTCTCCAAAAGGAACTCGGTTCAGGCAGTAATGTTGCTGGATAAAGAGCTTCCGAATTCCAAAAGTAAACAGACATTAGCAGTGTCTCCACCCATTAGGAGGCCAAGATGAGAAGGAAGGAAGCTCTGGGTTATAAAGTGAAAGAGGAAAAAAATAAAGAGAACTGGAGATGAGAAAGGAAAGGAGAAAGAAATGTTGGCCAAGAAAGGTGGTGGAAAATAAGATCAAAGCAAATGGCTTTATGTGAGAAGAGGGGAGAAGAAGGGAGGGGAAGGGGAAGAAGGGAAGGGAGAGGGAGGGGAAGAAAAGGGAGAGAGAAGGGAAGGAATGGTACTGAGGATGAGAAAAGAGAAGATGCTGACAGGTGGGAAACCTGGGGATAGGCCTCCCACTTTTGCTCAAAGTTTTGAAGAAGTAAAGATGCAGTGACAGAGTCAGAAACCAAGTGGGCAGATGTCTGAGGTAGGCAGAGTGGTCTGTGTGGGATAACATGGCTACATGCCATGGTCAGGCCTCAAGGGTCTGATGCTGATCTCTTAGGACCACAATTCTTCCTGTATAAGCCCAACAGGAGCCATGGGGCCCTGTGATGCCATGAGACGGTAAATGGTTAGTATTTATGAATTCTTTGAGATTTTCATACATGCCTGCAAGATGTTTTGCTCATATGTACTCCTCATTCCTCTTTTCCACCCCCATCTCCCTTCATGCCCTTTTAAAATTTATAACCTACTGGGTCCAGGTCATGCTGCCATATACACATGGGTATGTACTACCCACTGGAGAGTAGTGGTCCTTCAGAGACCACTCTCCAAGGAGAACTAACTCTCTCTCCTGATGACAGAGATACCAGCAGCTGCCAACATCTCCTCAGCTAGAGCCTTTTCCCTTCCACGTTAGAACGTTGCCAGGCTTGACCTTGCCCAGCTTTTCTTGTGCAGGCAACCACAATGCTATGAGCTCATGTGTACAGCAGTCTGTAATGTTCGAGAGATACTGTTTCATCCTGGTCTATCCTTACCTTCGACTCTTACAATCCTTCCACCCTGTCTTCTTGATGGTCCCTGAGGGGTGAGTATGTGATAGCCCATCTGTGGATGAGCTTAATCCCTGTGCTTTGAACAGTTGTGAGTTGCTGCATTAGCCACCATTCGCTGCACAGAGAAGCTTCTCCAAAGAGGCCTGAGAGCCACACCACTCTATGGATATATGCAATGTTAGATGGCAGCTTGATACGACTTCCACTGAGCAAAATAACAACAGTAGGTTCATCCCTGGTGCCTGTGAGCCCCCCCCCCCAACAGGGATGGGTCATATTTACAGCACCAACAGAGCCATGCATGCATTTTCATGAATGGCTAATCTTGGTTTTTAACTTTATTGGATTGAGATGCATGCACAAGAGTACTAAAGCGCATCTTGGGCTTGTCTGTGAGGGCATTTCCAGAGATAAGATCATGAGGGCTCTGACCCAATGAATGGTTTCATCCATCCATGGACTTAAATGATGAATGGAATATGGTAGGTGGGAGAACTATGGAGGTGGGGCCTGGTCAGAGGGTGTAAGCCACTAAGGGTGTGTCTGTGGGAGCCATAGCTTGCCCCAGCTCTCTCCTGGTACTCTCTGACAAACTCTACCCACCATGATGAACTGAAAGTGGGGTCCTAGTCTTCATCCCTCATATCCACTCACCCCTCAAGTAAAGAACACAAGACGACCCCAAATGTAGTGAACTGTGGAAAGAAGACCATATCTCCCCACGGCATCTCTAGGGACAGGCAGTGGGGTAGAGCCTGCAAAGTCCACTCCAGTTGGGCTTCCCCTCCCCCACCACTGAGGTCTGTACCTGGAGGTGACTTCACTGATGTTCTGCTCTGTTGGGCTGTCGCTGTCATTAAAGAGCCCAGTCCAATTGGCGCGCTGGTCGCCCCTCTGCCAACCAAACTGGAAGCCTCTGGCAAGAAAATGAGGCAGTCGATATACACACTCATATGTTGGATTAGCCTCTCTAAGGGCCACATTCTATCACTGTACCACGTGACACAAGTTTCTGATTATACACTAGACAGAGAAGATGGTGGCAATTCCAACCATAGGGATGATGGTGGTAAGCCGTGGTCCTCCTTGCCATATTTACTCTTTTGCATCCTTCCCTTGGTCCATCTTTTCTACAGGGCACATATTTTACAGGTAGGGAAACTGAGCCTTACAAAGTCATAGGGCTCTTCTACCTTCTATCTGGTGCCCTCCCTCAGTTTCTTTTCCTAGAGACTTAAATGAAGAGAAGTCTATCACCAGTACTGTGCCAGACACAACTTCAAAGATCTTAATCCACCATGTGAGGACCCCACTTCTGGTTTAAGATGAAGGACTTTGCACATTTGTATCCATTCACTCTCTCCCCAAACCTGACAACAATGGCAGCAACACGATGAGCCAGAACGTGAGCACGAAGAGGAGGTAACAGAAGGGACCAGAAACAACAATAAATGACAGCAGGCGGAGGGGTAAGCGACCCGGGCCAGAGGGAGCAGCATCCAGATGGCCTGAAAGAAGCAGATCCATTCTCAGGACTTAACTGCAGAAAGATGAGGAAGGGAGGGCGCCGGGCTACTGCTGGTGGGCATTAGATGGTTCCAAAGCAGGAGGACTGGGTTAGGTCTACAGAGGCGGCAGTTAGGCACCTTCCATTACATGTGTGCACACACAAACCTGGGCATACCCGGGTCCCCTTCCCACACACCCTATAGACAGCAGCTCCTGGGGATGTTGGCTTGGGGAGGAGGGATTCTATACCCAAAGCAGGTACCCTCGAGGGCCGAACCGGTGCTCTAGAACCACGGTTTAGCGCTGTCCAACCTGAACCTCTGGAATCATAAGGATCATGATTCTTAGGCGGGAAAACCATGCAGCTTTTTAAATGGCTAAGAATAAAGAGGGTGTCCTCCTAAGTACCCTGGGACATGCTTTCTCCAGCCAGGACTGTGGACCCCAGGGCTGGAGAACCCTTTGTTGTGGGACTGTCCTGTGCTGTATATGGTGCTGGGTGATGTCCCCAAGTGTCTGTCATCTGCATTTGGCCTCCAACTCTCCTGTTATGATTATCAAAATATCTCCAGGTGAAAATGGCTCCTGGGGGTAAAATCACCCCTACTGGAAACCATTGCTATACAACAATGCATAGGATTTTCAAAACCCTCTAGTAATTGCCTGGCCCTTAAATGTGAGGAAATGATTAGTGATCACTTCTGGTGAAGAAAGCTTGAACCTCGAAGTCAGAATAGAACTAAAAAGGAAGGAAAAAAAGGGGGAACTCTGGGCATGGAGAAGAGGACAGATGGGAAAAGCTGAGGAAAATAGTTAATAAAAGAATTAATAAATAGCCTATTAGTGAAGGGACTGGGGGCAGCAGATGGTTTCTGAAGCTCTCTCATCCATACTCCTCTAATTAGCAGATGCCCTCCATCAATTCTCTGAACTTCTCGTGGTCTCTGTTGTCATAGTTCAAATGAATAAACAGCCTAGGATGTCTCTGGAGTCCTTGAGTGAAAGTATCACGGAAGTGAGCCATTGCTCCGGTGACCAGTTAGCTTGCTGAGGTCATTTTGCTCTACTCAGATGGAAATCACCAGAAGGCAAAGAATAGCTTTCCAGAATTGGTAGGCCTGGGTCCTTGAGCACCAAAGGCTTAGGAGCCCAGGCCGACAGACTCGGTGATTATAGCTCTTAAGCCCTGAGAACTGGAGGCTGTGACTTCAGGTTGCATTAGGCTTCAGGTGGCCTCAGAGGCTTATGGTTCTAGGTGCTTCAGCTGTAGGCTTGGTGACCTGGGCCTTGGCTACCAGCATCTGAGCACTTAGCAAAATGCATCTCTTGGGCTAGCAGCAGCTGCAGTAATAGCACTTGGCACCTGCCTAAGCCACAGTTCCCAGGGGTGCTGGAACCGTGGCCCTCAATAGAACCTGTAAAGTTCTCAAGCCTTGTGTGCCAAGCTTGGGCCTTTGGGCCTTTGAAGTTCTCTGGAGCATTCCAGTGGCTTGAGCCCCGAGTCTCTTCTAAAGCATTCATAATCTTCTGTTTGCATCTTCATCTTCCCGGTCTTGAACCCTTCACCACACCGCTCACTGCCACTGCTCCCTGCGGGAACTGCTCCAACTCACTCCCTGGACTCTTCAGCTACCTTCTTGCTGCTTTTGGTATTGCCAAAGCTGCTGCTCCAATTACCATCATTGCCACAGCCATGGCCACGGCCACTGCCACCTATTCCTCACGTTATAAGTTCTGCCTGCCCTACCCAGGACAAAGACCACTTAGGAGCCATCCCTTAAGGGAACTAACGATGCAACAGAAGCAGGAGGAATGCAGGAGACTCCCTAGCTGACTCAAAAAGCACAAGGGACAGACTAGTTACATAATTGTCCTCAGAAGGGGTGTGGCATGCAAATATGGAATTGTACTTTGCACCAATAACAGCACACCTTCCAGTTTCCCCCAATCCAAGAACTAATCACAAGCCATGTATAGGTGTAGCTGTGTCTCTTTTTGCTGTATCCCTGGGGGAGTACTCTTCCTCTCTCTACCTGTTGCAGAGAAGGTAGAGCATAGCAGCTGTAGTCAAGGACTGAGCTTTCTGAAGCAGCGTCAAGCTTGGTCATCTGGAAACCACTGAGACCTGGAAAAGCCAGAGTGAATGTTTCCAGTGCTGGAGCAGACTGGAGCAGTTGTAACTGGAACAAGACTTCCTAAACAGCTGCAGATGCCAGCCATGGTTGCGAGTGTTGCTTGTAGCAGGAGTAGAGCTTCTTCAAGGTGTTCATAAAGTATTCAAAGCCACCAGGCCACTATATAACAACCCAGTCAGTCACCTGAAGAGGAACTGCTTAGCTGACTGTGTCCTGCTCAGAGTAACAGAGCTCACGGGAGGAGTCCATCAACTGTCAGTCAGGTGGGTAAATGACAGCATTCCCACAGTTGTGCTCATTTTTTTCAAGGGAAAAAATTGAAGCACACTCATAATAAAGACCTAGGAAATATATATTCTTGTCAGGATAGCAGTGCTGAACACCCAGATATAAAGCCTTAAGGAGAGCTGGACCACTTTGATCTGCTTTCTCCAGTACCTACCAGCTCCCTCCTTGGGAGTCCTGTTCACCTGCCACAAGCAATGCTGACCCAGCTCCTAGCAGATTTTGGTCTGGGTCCTCTTGGGTCCTTACTAATGGATAGCTGCATACATGAAGTACTCCACACGTGCCTTGCTGAATGGCTGTTGTTGCTTTTCATCCCCTCCAGTCTCCATAGCAGAGAGAGCTTAACCCAGAAGAGGAGCAAAAACAGATGACAGAAGAGCCCCTGAAGCCAGCAGAAGAATGCCTGTCCAGATGCCAGTTGATTCAGAAAAGGGCATCGATCAACTTCATCTGATTCCATGGTTGTACATTGAAGTGTTTGTTGAAGTGATTATGCATTGCTCCTTAAGAAATCAGTGAGAGGGGCTGGAGAGATGGCTCAGAGGTTAAGAGCATTGGCTGCTCTTCCAGAGGACCAGGGTTCAGTTCCCAGCAATCACATGGTGACTCACAACCATCTATAATGAGATCTGGTGCCCTCTTCTGGCATGCAGCTGTACATGCAGAAAGAACACACTGTACACTAAATGAATAAATAAATCTTTAAAAAAAGAAAAAAATAAATCAGTGAGGTGTTTGTCAGCTTATGGGTGTGGTTTACCCGGGAGAGAGGCTTTTGTTGAGCACTTATTAGCAACAGGTGGTGCACATATAGAAGGTCTCATTAGCTTTTGTTGTAGATGAAAAACAAGAATCCCAGAATCTACTCGCATGCCTGAGGCTAAAGAGTGGCAAGACCTCTGCCCAGGGTTGACATCAAAGCTCTTAGCAAACCAAGGCCAAAAGGACATTTCTACCTGGGACTCTGCTATCTAACTGGTTGTGCTGGCTAGTGTTTTGTCAAAGGGGCAGAAAGTAGGGCCATTTGGGAAGAAGACAATCAGTTGAGAAAATACCTCTGTTAGACTGCTCTGTTACAGAATCTGTGGGGCATTTTCCTGAGTAGCAGATTGATGGGGCAGGGCCCCAGTCTACTGTGGGATGCCATTTCTAGGTGGTCTTGGGTTAAGGCATTTCTTGACAGCAAGACATGCAGAGCAAGAGTCTTAGTTAAGGTCTCGCTGCTGTGATGAAATGCCATGACCAAAGGCAAGTTGGAGAGGAAAGGATTTTTTTCTCTTTTGGCTTGTAACTTCCACATTGTAGTCCATCATAGAAGGAAGTCAGGTCAGGAACTCAACCCGGGCTGGAACCTGGATGCAGGAGCAAATGCAGAGGCCATGGAGGAGTGCTGCCTTGTTCCCCTGGCTTGCTCAGCCTGCCTTTTTTTTTTAAGTTTATTTAATTTTATTTTATAAGTATAAGGTTGTCAGATTCCCTCAAACTGGAGTTACAGACAGTTGTGAGCTGCCATGTGGGTGCTGGGAATTGAACCCGGGTCCTCTGGAAGAGCAGACAATGCTTTTAACCACTGAGCCATCTCTCCAGCCCTCATCCTGCTTTTTTATAGAACCCAGGACCACCAGCCCAGGGATTGCACCACCCACCATGGGTTGGGTCCTCCCCCATCAATCACTAATTAAGATGCCTGACAGCTGAATCTTATGGAGGCATTTTCTCAAACAGTGCTCCCTCCTTTCAGATGACTCTAGCTTATGTCAAGTTGACATAAAACTAGCCAGGACAGTTGCTCCCTTGTCAACTTGACACACAAATATATCACTCTTAACCATAACCTAACATTTCCCCAAGACCACACATTAAAGTCAACATCATAATATAAAACATTTTACAAACTTAAAGAGTTCCACAGTCTTTACAAATTCAAACACTTTAAATTCAGTCTATTTTAAAATCCAAAGACTCCTTTAAGACCTAAAATCTA